CCGAGTTTCTCTCAAATAAAACCGATTCATTTGAATCAAATGCGATTGCTTACGCATTTCTGATATTGAAATACACACTTCACAATATACTTGCCATGCATAAGATGATAGGGGTAACTACTGCAGTCAGTTTGTCCCCTAGAATCATTCGCCATGGGATCAATGTTGACTCCTCCTTTATCCGAAATGAAAAATAATCCAACTTTTGTTGATAACTTTGACAAAACTAAGATAAACTTCTGTGATTGATAGTTTTTACCATCTCCACCCCAAAAACAATGCAAAATGTTAACCTACCTACCTTAGTCCACGGGTTTTGTATGATCGTTCGGTTTTATCAATGTACGAACTACCTGCATTGATTTGTCTTTAATCACCACGTGTCCTGAAAAACACTATCTACCGAGGGCCTGCTTCTGTATAAAATTATCCGGAAACGTCAAATAAAAAACCAGCCTACTGTAATTGTAAATGTGCTCAAAATTCTACGAAATTTCTTAAGTACTCGGTATATTGACTTCAACAGCGGTCGAACGTTCTCACTCATATCTTCCACTGATAAACCGTTCATTGATTGAAACAATGAACTAACCATGAAATTTATTAAAATTTCAAATGGGAATTCGTCGTGTATATAGCAAATAAAGTGTGAAGTGAAAAGCTCGGAAGCACTAGACAGCCGTTTCGACCTGGTTGGGTCTCATCAGCAGTGCGAATCCATCGACCCGATTGGGGATCGAACCCGGGACTTCATGGGCAGAAGGCAAGCGTGCTACCCACTACGCCACCGAGCAGCTGATCAGACCGTTTTTCATTTTCCGGTCTGATCAGCTATCGGATCAGGATGAATGGATAGGGCAAAGCCAGGTAACATGTGGGAATTGGACACGATATGAGAAACGTTAGACAAGAATGAATAAAACAAGTGTGAAAATGTGAGACAAAGACAGTAAATGAGGAAATGGAAAGAGTGTAAAAGGTGTCACATAGGGAAATCTCTCTTATGGCCGTGGTAACAGCGACGTTTCCGGAAGACGCCAGTGACTACAGAGAAGTTGAGTAATAATGTGAACTGTATATAAAACCGCCCAATTCAGTTCAGAGCAAAAAAAATGTTACTGCTTTCCACCTTTATGATAGGTAGCTCGTTTACACAATCTTTCGTGGAGACAAATACGGAAAATATACTGCAAAGTGACATCCGAGGCACCACTGAACCGTTTCTCTAATACGACATTCAGTATTGAGTCAATCATGAGTAGAATATTTTACCGACCTCTACTTAATAAGTCATGGAGCACCCGGTACAGAGTTATCAACACTTATTGGATCATGAATAACTGTAATTCATTCTAATCATCACGTGTTTCATTCAATAAACTACAAAGGTCGCACAAATGTAATCAGTGCGTGAAAAAATGCGACGGGTTGGTTAGTGATACAATAAAGATAAGAACTTATGCGATGAAGCTGAGTAGTCAAGGAAGAAGCCGCAGGTAACAGATTGTTTCCATTGGCAGTGTGGATTGAATGTATTAATCAGCCATTCAGGTGAAAAAGTGTTACTCCTTTCACCATTGTTACCCTTGTTAGGTATAAGGTGAAGTGTGTATTTCAATATCAGAAATGCGTAAGCAATCGCATTTGATTCAAATGAATCGGTTTTATTTGAGAGAAACTCGGCCTCAATGAAATTCACTCATTGGGCTTAGACTCCACTCATGCAATGAATCATGCACACATTCACGTCTGGCATGGTGACCAACTTATTGATCCATCTTGACGTAATTCGTTTCCTTATCCGACCGATAAAGGTCAATTAACTCCGGGTTCGTTCATTCGTTCCTATGACGCACACTCGATCACCGATCAGGAACATACGTTCCCGGGTGGAACGTGTGTGTGTGTGTGTGTGTGTTGTGTGTGTGGAGGGGGGCTGTGGTAGAACGGCGAACCACACCCCATCGGAACATTCATCCTCGTTCGGTAACTCACTCAAGAAGTACAGTTTTTGTTTACGGAGAAGTTACTTCATTCGGACTGGACGAGGTTTAGACAGATCCGATCCAATCGGTGACATTTGACGACCGAAACACCAATCGTCTTCTGGAATTTCCCATTTGAATGCGATTGGTTGGATTCACTTGAAGTTATAATGGATTCACCTGAAGTTGAAAAATTATAGTTTAACGACAAAGCAGGTTGAACACAACGGGAACAAACGAAAAAAATAGTTCGTGCTGAAGAACACGCATATAATCCAACGAAACACCGCCACTTCACAATCATTTCTGCTGAGAATGAAATCTGTGGACACCAATTTTCAACCTCCGGTAACAGGTGGCACTAACTTCAGTTCACGTGAATTACGAAAACCGATTTTTTATGAATTCATCCTTGGTCACTCCACTAGGAAGACAAATCAGAAAATCATAACCGTGAACAATATGTGAGCTCGATGTGTTTTATAAAGGATAGTGAAGAAAGCGGCACTCAGGGCTCTGTAATGAATTTTAAATGACTGACACTAATCGATTTTGGAATGCCCCAACTCCATGTGACGTTAGTTTGTGTGTGCAGTAACTATTAGTATCAAACAGTAAATCAATTATGAAAAAGTTATAGGTGTCAACGGTTTGATCAATGATAAAGCCATAACATATAAAGGTATACATGACTCAATGTCCTGACTAAAGTGTTACCACGTTATACAGATAGATCGATAGTCACTTTGACTAAACGCTCGATTTATTAGTCTACCCATCGGTAATGAGAGCAAACTCTGTCCCGTGGGCCACCTGCAATCCGTGCTTGGCGGTACCTTTGGATAATGTTTTGCCTCAGGGAAAAGCGACAATGGGCACCGCTGATAATTTGTTCCTCGAAATTACAGGTTGACTTCCGAAAGACGAGAAGCTATACACCACAACGCCTTTTCAAATTGGCTAGGCTGTAACTATTAATTGCCAGTTAGAAAATTAAAACCATCGAAATGGTGATGGGGAGATCCAGAGGTGAATGCGATATGCAACTCGGCAGTCAAAATTATTCCTGTAATTTTGTGAGACAATTTTTGCCACTGGCGTAGAGTCGAAAATGTATTCAATATACCTCCGTTTTGAACAAGCTGTTATTTTGGAGACCAAAGGTGAATCAACGTGATAGTTCCACTTCCGGTTTGTGAGTTAGATGAAACCAAACTGTACTTACAAACTTTATCCAGTAACTGATGGGCTATAGGTGTTATGAATTAGCTCATTTTTGAGGTGTAATCTTAAGGGCTGTATAGTTCATCTATTTGCCAAATTTTTAAATTCTCCACGGACTTCAAAACTCACTACAAACAGTTTAGGCAATCGATTTTCACGGCCTATGTGTGTTTGATGTGTGATGGGCTTGGGTAGGCTTATAAAAAATCAAATTTCGATGGAAATTTCCACACAGCCTCATTTAATTTTACAACGAAGTTGTACTGTTTATCTTCCTTGCTGATCGGGACCGCAATCACCTACGTTTAGCCACTTTTTAATGGACCGTTCACAATTACACCGTAAGGTGTACGAAATTTGTGACAAAACGTATGCGGAGTGTGTTATTTTTATGCCTCTACAAAAGTTGTATTTCGGAATTGGTTATTTTGCATACCGATGCATTTTACCAAGTCTCATTCGAGAGGATTTTAGCTTTGATCTGAAAAGCAATTATTCGTTACTTACCATTAGACCTCCGTGACAATGAAGTGCTTCAGTATGGAATTTGTTAAACTGCTAGCTATCAGTTCTGCTTCAAACGTGGGGCTAAATATGTTATCTGCTTTTAGTTCGGCACATCGAATTCAAAAACCCGTTGAAAAACCGCCTATTCATAGCTTATATCTCAGATTTGATAGGCATGATGCCTTAGAAACTGTGCAAATTACGGAGAAACGATGATCAAAAACGGATTAAGAATTATACCCATTATATGAAATGCGTGGACGCAAATAACTGCAATTTGCATATAACAGTAGAGACTGTACATTTTCACCTCACTTGCGGATATGTCTAATTTCTGAGTCGGAGCATTAACTAACCGAATGGTCCTAATTTAATCCATTCAGCAGATTCAGTTTCAACAGTTTCAATATTTGTAGACACTAATCCGGAGATAAACAACTTGTTCGATATCAAAGTTAAATCTGCTTAAAACGTTCTTTCTCCCCGTTCCACAAACTGTATTGATATTATAAAGTTTTCCTCAATCAATGGCGAATAAAATGGAGACAGTTTTAGGTCTTTTCCAGGCCAGGTCTCTTGCGTAATTAGTTTTTCCGAACTGGCATCACCTAACGATACCATAATTTGCACAGAAGAAAGATAACTAAACGCAGGTCACTTCTGGCATCCAAACGATTATAAATCGACGCACAGACTTACTTTCCCTCCCCACTCGGTATAACGCGTTGTCGGCTAGCATGATACCCACGTGCGTGTGCGCGTGTGCGTATCTCGTTTTTTGGTGTTGAGTTTTTGGACCACAATTGGAATTTGCTATTTTCGCACTGCTTGCCTGCGCAAAGATTGAACATACCGTTCTTCCGAGCTAAACGGACCGCAGGTAACACTGAACACTGAATTGGTGCATTTAATTGTTGGGAACGTTTTGTCAACACTGTTCTTTTTCCACCAATGCATCATTGCAATTTTGTGTTTTAGGAAATTATTTTGCGTATATTCTAAATTAATCTTCCCCTTGATCTTTATACAACTAAATTCATGATTAAATCAACCAACCTAAGTTATCTAAAGCACCGTGGAAACACTGAAAAATACTTTTCCATGATATAACAACGCCAAAAAGCCTAATATATACATGAGTTGTGAGAAGTGACGATATTTGTTGGAAAATATACTAAAGTATGCATTTAAGTGGGGTGCTAATCCAGCAAATTCAAATCTCTTTCCCTCATAAAACTTCAGCTTCCATTAGCAAACAGGATGGACAGCCGCTACTGATCAGCAAAGTCATCCCTGGCAGTGTGGCAAGCCGTAGCGGTTCCATCAATCCCGGTGATATTCTACTTGCTGTCAATGGTGTTTATTTATCATCCTGTAGCTTAGCGGAAGCTATCCGACTTCTTCAATCCCCGTTGGAAGAGATTGTCACATTACGGATTCAGAAGATTGCTGACACATCACTAATTGGCTCCGGCCCGGAGTCATCAACCGGTCGATTCACCGGGCGACGAAATCATTATGGGCGCAGTGATTCGGTTCCCGAGTCCGAACTGGGACGAGCAGGTTCGGCGCACTCAAGCACGGTGACTTCCAGACACAAAAGTGAACCGGAAGTAGATGTGGGTGAGTTTCGGGAAGCGTACGATCGATCTCATCCACTGTCAGAGCCAGCGGGACTTGGACGACCATTGGCTGTGCCTGTGGGAGCAGAGCCTTTGAGTAGCCTGTCAAAAAGTGGTACCAGTGGTCCTATCGGTGAATTGGTGCCCATGAAAGGTGCTAAGTCGCATCTGGTTCCGGAGAAACTGGAAAACCATATCCACACAGATCGCTCAACTTCATCCGGACAAGATGACCTCCGAATGGGTTCAGCTGCTGCCACAATCGGTGTGAAATCCAGAGCCACAACCGCGACAGTCAGCAGCAAATCCAACAATACGCTTCCGCTCCAAGATGCCACTTCAATTCAGGCTGATATCCAAAGTTTTACTAGTGCCCATGATTCACTGGACACCAGAAGTCGGTTAATAAGCAGTCCAGAAGGTACGTGTCCAGCGGAAGCTTGTGCTTCATTGACTGAATTCAACCGAAAGCGATTAAACTATGTTGTATTGTATTGTATTGTCGCATTGCTAGGGTTTCCTTGTCCGTCAGTTTGACTTACCCCTAAAACGTGCATCAAAAAGCATCAAGAAAAAGAATTAACCCCCTTTCTTGAATATGCCAATGCACTTATTTTGTTTGTTGCTTGGGCCGCATTTTCCTTAACTACCAACCAATCGTCAATCCGCTCTTACTTCATTCGCTTTCATTCTGGTAAAACTATAAACTTCAAGCAATTCTAGGATCATATTCTGTTGACAAAAGTCTACAGGGGCTTTGTTAGAGCATTGGTGGTCTCACGATACCTTCGTTTCATATCCTCTCCCCCCAATGTGTGGGGCTGGTATTCAGTGAATGAAGGATCTGTAGAAAACGGTCCCAAGTTCAGACAAGAGGAACCCTATCGTTGGTAATTCAATTGTACTGGAAAGATAATAGTATCAATAAACATCAAACGTCAGAGAAAGATAAAACTTCGTGAAGGAAAACCCTAGGAAGCAAGTGCACCTAGAAAGGTAAAGGTCTTACATGAACAAAAAACAACTTAAAAAGAAGGAACATCCAATCAAAGCCATTCAGACCCAAAGACTGTCATCGATTACGATTCCCCTTGGGCGTTACCATGTTCACTTGAATGATTAGGCGATTTTAGAGAGAATACAGCGGATTTACGTTGGTTAAGTTGTATCCGGATATATTTCGCTGCAACTCTTTGGGTGCATATTAGAGATCACATAACATGAATGGCCGCAACCAATTGATAAAATTACCGATAATAAGTGCACAATTATCATGGGGTTTATCAAGCCAACGCCAAATTAAAGAACAACTCAGCAACTGCTTGCACAAATTAGGCGTCCATCTCTGAATCTTGGTTCTTTCAGCAAACTGAACTTAACGTGAATTGATGTTGCATCGGATCACCGAGACTGCTGTTGTTCGATCGAACCCATGCTCTTTCTCAAGCAAATGAGGTGCAATGGATGAGGCTGGTCGGTAACCCCACACCTGTTCCTCACTGGCTGACAAAAGTGTTCACCCACTGTGGGACGTGCTCAGTCAGTCAGATTTGAGGACTGTCAAATACAACTGACAGGCAAGCCAAGCCCGTTGGATAGTAGACACATGCACAAAAATGGGGGACATGAGGGAACTTCAGGAACTTCAGGTCAGAGAAAGCGAATCAGGATTGATCTCACGGGGATAATAGGATGCAAGGGACATGTCACAAGATCGAAGGGTGGATCGAAAGGTCTGCAACGATTGGCAGTGTGAGGGTATTAAGCATAAACTAAGGATGGAACTCTTTACCAATCTATCCGGTGTGCCTAAGTTCGACCAGCGATACAGCATTCGACATTCCCAAACTGCAATATGCGCAAGATAATTTAATTTGCCTCCGGAACTAGGGCTTTCTATTGCTGTTTATCCCTGACTATGTGAAACATACATGCACTTTGTGTTTTGATTGTGATAGGATCCGCAGTATGCCTGAATTACTGAATGTAAACTGTTGAACAAATAAGTCAATTCGTGATAAACCAATTGTGGGATTATTTCTGAAAAAATGTATTGTAGAATTTCTGAACTTATTGAGATCACTTACTAGCTGGCCAGCTTAGTCTTCTGTGGCCGTTCCAGCTAGGATAAGCATTCATTTTTTTCTAGCACATTTCTATTCGAATCGCATTTCGGAATCGGTTGAAAGTACAACGGAGTGGTTGGGGGCTACATCGCAGTTCCCACAATAGCAATGGTTCTTACATTCTTAGCCATGGTTACTAAATATTTTTTTCAAATTAGCTAGTTGTTCAGTGCTGTAAGCGATTTACATCTTTTATCCTCACAAAATGCGACAGTGTAGAACGTAAAAGTTGTGATATCTTCAACTCTACCACCACAAAGATTAATATTGCTGATGTGATGAGATGAGTTGATAATTTGAATTCTGCTCGCGTTAGGTTGAATAAAACTGGATACGTCCATAGTTTTTTTTATAAATTTTTACAGATTCCCCTGTCCTCGCTGAAACACGACATGGGTTTATTTGGTCATGAAAATCTCGCACAACTTTTTTATGAACATATAATTTATGACTATTTTAATGGGGAAGCCATAAACTGTACCGGGCGTGGTTCTTTTGCACATTATGACCATTAGTATTGTGACGAATACGTTTTCACAGTTAATGCAAGCCTGGTGACCGCAATGTTCACATTTGTTGTGTATCCCCGTTGGCAGATATGTCTCAAGACGATGGTTTCAGTGTGGTACGTGTAACACTGAAACGAAAATCTGCCGAATGTCCCTGGGGGATCATCATATGTGGCACTGATGAGGCTTCTAATGCACCCGTTTTTATCGATTCACTAAATCCGGGTGATCCCGGAGCGGCGAGTGGCCTGCTGTTTCCGGGTGATCGTATTTTAGCCATCAACGGGAATGCGTTGCACGCGGGGCACACATTGACACAGGCTATGCGTATGCTACAGCGCTATCCAGATCGTGTAGTACTACACGTGGCTCGACAGCAGCGCATCAGTGAACCGGAATTGGGGCGATCCCCGCAATCACTTCTAGACGGTCGGAAACGCATGGAACCTGAGATCGATTCCCGAATCTTGATGGACGAACCGGTGCAAATGAGAATGAATGAAAAAGAAGGCCTATCTCGTAAACCTTCATTGAAAAAGGTATCCACGATGGTTAATGTCTTATTTCAAAGGTCTTTTGATAATAATGAAACTCGTGTCTGCTGGGCACTTGATCAAGCTGGCCAATGCAAGTGGTGTTCATAAACCGAAAAATAAGATATCGTGTTCATTCAAAGATTTTCAGTACCGTGTGTGATTCACGAGTTAACTGTCACTATTCTAATATAATTTCTTCATTCGTGATCAATCAGTTTCAAACCCAGAAAGAAACTTTGCTCATTTCTACAAAAAAGAAACGAGAAATCTTCCACGTGTTGCCTAACCAAGTAAGCTGGATAATTCGAACAAGAATAAGCAGCGGTCGTTAGAAAGAATTTATTTCTGTCTGCACACACACAAGCACACACACATTGTCCCGAACTCACGAAATATTGTCAATACTTACCCTCAAAATATCTGCAAGGGGATTCACATTTTATCAGCAGAGCTCAGCTACTGCTAAAATTTTGACCGCCCTAAGTGTTTTCGAATCCTAAAACTATTGTCCGTATATCCTGTCACAAACCATGAAATAGACAAGGATTTGATTTAGCTAAAACCACAACAGAGACCAGTCAGATGAGCAAAATGCAATAAGCAGAAAAGGTGAAATTGACGAGTTGTGTGCATGTGTTTGGTTAATCGTGTGGGAGCACCGTTTCCATAGTATGCCTCCGAACCTGAGCATCATCTATCATCAACTTCTGCTTCTCGTTTGGTGTTCGGATTCCGGTGTTGGATAAACTCAATCTGGATGAAAATCGCACAGGAAAAGATCAAAGATTATTGGTAGGATGATACGTGCCTCCGATTTCCTTCCACGATGTGTATGTGTGTTGTAGTAACCATAAAGGAGCATTCTGTGTTCAGAGTAAAGTTGTAATGTGACAAAGAACCGGGGTGATTTTTAAGGGTAGTCCGAATGTGTCAATCTGCTTCTTTGTGATTCCTAAGCTTGACTCGCTTGTACCTTTACAAATTAATCTGACAGTTTTTGCTTTCATTCAATGGGGATACCTATCGGCTCTTTTCGATTACCCACTCTCAAGATTCTACAATAATGTTCGATAATAAGAGTAGATTGGGTCTGAGAGGGTGGCCGGGTTATTAAATCGGCGCAAGTTACGTCACAGCTTGATTTGGTCAATGACCGATAAGGATGGGTGCGAGTAAGGTTGATATACATCTGGCCGAGACGAGTCACACTGTGGATATGCAGGAATCATTCCTTCTAATCAATTCAATGACGGGATGTCGGTCTAAGGATGTCAAAGCCCGATTTTCATCTACATCAGAGGCATTGGTGATTGAAACCAAAAAAAACTCACTATGCGCAAAGTAAAGGTTCGTGAAATCTCTTACCGTCCCGTGACCAAACATCCGAAGTGCTCCCTCCTAACATTCTGGTCGAAAATTTACACTCCGCGGGGAGTATCACTAGATATGCTGTCAGTGTTTAAACACTTGCCTCCCAACCCCTCAAATCCTTTGGTTCACATACTAGAAAACCTAATTTGCCTATTTTCCTGCTTTGTTTCTCTGAGTTATATAATGTACTCTGATTAGCCAATAGACAAATATTTTATAAGTTGACAAAACTAGTTAATTGCTCACTTTTCAATTGAGCCCCTGACAAAGGTTTGATTACGTCATGTCGTCGGACCACAGTAACCTCAGTATAACACTGTCGACAATATCTGTGTCTTTCCTTTCACCGGCTCCTCCGTGATATGTAACACTGATCATACCGTATTCAAAAAGATCATTTGGCCCGGTTGGTAAAAATAATTTGCTAAAGTCACTCATGGCTTCGTTGTGGAACATATGATCAACAAGGGACTTTTGGCATATATCAGATGGTCATTTAAACGACTATACAGGAGGCCAATGAATTTACCCACCAAACTAATGCAAATAATGCTGTGTACAGTCAAAACGGTAGCAATTCGGATCCGCCACATAGAACTGTGCCCCGGAAGAGTGGATTTTGCGCACTCTGAGGTTATCACGGTCCGACCACTTGCCCGAATAACAAATTTACGAAAGCAGTTCGACTGGTTACAATTTTACAAACTCTCTTCATACTCCAGTCTCATTGGTAATCTTCACTTTTGTTGCTACCCTCTGATCATATATTAATTCAGAACAGTGAGAATGAATAACCGAAAAGCAATCGATTGTCTTTTTCATGAACAACGAGAATATTCCAAAAACTTTGTCTGTGACTTCAATGAGATAACACGTTTTCGGCGGCATGATCGGAACAAAAATTGATCGCCATAACGAAAAGAACAGTATTTGTGTTCCTCTTTTGGTTCTAAAAGAGTCTTTTCTCATTGACTTTGCTAAGACCATCAAGCTATTGAGATTATTTCATGATTCATTCGTTGATTTTTTTCTCTTGTGCAATTATTTCTGCTCAAGCTTAGAGCTGAAAAAGTTTATTGGGTACATTATTCTATGAACAAACTACACGACTGGATGACGGGCGCTAATTGTGTTGTAAATCTTTCCAGTCATATCCCAACGAAGTATCACAGACAACCGTAAGATCATAGTAAAGTTTAACCGCTGGTTTCAATTCACTTACATATCCTTCTTCGAGATAGCCCTCAGATAGCCCTCAACAAACCGTTTTAAACTTAACCCACTTCATCACATATTCTGTCCTTGCCATTTTTGTCCGAAACACAGTTGTCCTTCCATTAGCCAACCCCTCCCTCCCCCTTGATCACAAACTTCCTTGCAATCTGGACTTACGTGTCAATTGACAAATCGATCACTGGTTCACACCTCGGCATCTGCCACAGAGATTTCGTGCTCATGTAACCCGCCCTTAAAATAGCCTGGTTGAAATTTCACTTA